GAAGGAGCGACAGAGAACAGGAGGGAGAAATGTGTAGAGTCTCCCACACCTCTTTTTCTTTTTTTTGCAAATGTCTCTGCGGAGCTTTTAGCGCTGGTTTTCTGAGCGGGACTGGCTGTAGCCCCATCCTCTAAACTCTGCCAGGGTGGGGTGGCCGCAGAGGGAGTCCTGTCTCCAGATTCCTAACTCACAGTATTTTCCTTAATATTATGATTTTTTCACTTGTGAGTGCGGGAAACTAACGTCCTGTACCTTATGGTAGATCTGGAGCTCTGGAGTTGTTCTGTGAGCTCTTCCTGCATAAGATCCCCATCCCTTTGCTACAGAGATTTCCCTACCTGGTTTTAGTTACTGTCACCCCAACCGGAAGTGACACATTCTTGATTGCTGAAATCTAAGATGACTTAAAATACTTTCTGATGACTATCAAAGACCACAGTCTTCAGTATGAGTTATACCTCAATGTACAGAAAACAATACTACAAGCTTGCTTGCTTTTTTTTTTAGTATTATTTCTAAATTTTTCTCTTAGAAAACTGGTATGATATAATGGTGTGAGACGAGGGTGATAAGGGACTGCAGTTTATAACCTGCAAGCCAAATCCAGCCATTCATTTAGGTATTGTCTGTGGCTGCTTTCCTATTACAGGAGAACTGACTAGTTACAACATTAATGGTATGACCTACAAAGTCTAAAATATCTGCTATGTGACCATTTACAGAAAAATATCCAGACTCCTGGTATAATTGGCTTGCTCTCTCATATCCATTAGGTAAGAGAAAAGCTACAGAAAAGGAAAACTTTGGCATATCTACCTGATCCATGTAGGGACTCTTTAAGGTTTCATTGCCTCTAAAAGATGGAATAAGTTAGGAAGAAGTCACTAGGGGCCATATACCTATGGTGGTGGTTATGTGCCGTGGAGTTGATTCCAACTCATAGTGACCCTGTACAGGGTTTCCATGGCTGTAAATCTTTACAGGAGCAGAAAGCCTCATCTTTATCCCATGGATAAAGATGGTAGTTTCTAACTGCTGACCTTGTGGTTTGCAGCCCAATTCGTGACCACTGCACTATACAGAACTTTCTATTTTACCTGACCCTTCTCACCTAGAGGGTCCTCTAGAGTCTGCCTTTCAATTCCCTCAGTACCTGAGTCCTAGAGGAAGACCAGGCACAGTGAAGATGACACCATAAGAGGAAAGGTGGAGATCTTGAAACTGAAAATCCAGAGGCAGAAAGAAAAAGAAGTATCCACAGAAAAAAAGATATGGCTACATAGGACATTGTACTTTCAGACACAAGTATCAAAAGGATCCATAGAAATGATGGGAGCAATGATGGACTCTTAAGAATATTAGGAAGTCCAGAATGAAATAGAGTTTAGAAAAAAGAGTGAGGTCAATTGTTGTTTAGTTCTATTCTGAACAGGAAAGTAAGCAAGGTAGAAACAGGCCAACTGCAGGGAGCAGACACTATTATATCTACATATAATAATGTACGAAGGGATCAGGTACTAGTCAGACAGAGACTGGGGAAACCCTGAGAATGTGGCCCTTGGTTACTCTTCAGACCTGGAAATGAACTCACTCCCTTGGCTCATTTTTTCAGATATATAGGAAGACAACAACCTAAGTGAGGTATGCACACCATAGAATGATCAACCATTCAAGATTGAAAGGGTAGCATTTACCTAAGGAAAAAATTCAGAAGCATCCAGCTGATAAGAAGTAAGGGGAGATGCACAAGAACACCCAAACATGCAGACAGTACCCATTTGATCTAGACTCAATGGCTTTATAATCAGAACTCAACTAGAGGAATATTACCCCCCAAAAAAAAAAAATTTTTTTTTTTTTTGATAAAGGAAACAAGGGTAAATTGCTACAACTTGATGAACCTGACTTATACTCATGGAGGTAGTAACTCTAAATACCAACAGGATAGATAGGGATGGAAAACTTAGACATTGGCTACCTAAAATGAGGGGGTGATAAAGGCACAAAGTGACTTGCTTGCAAGGTTTCAAGAGGGAGTTTAGTTTAAGAGTGTGTGGGGAAAGAAAGAGTACCCACTGAATAGATTTCATCTTGTCTAGATGGGTCTGGTGGAAAGAGATGGGGATAAGATTCATACGATTCAATAGTGAATAATTGTTATGACTAATTGCGACTCTCACAATTGTAAAGGTAGAAGTTTTGCAACAAAAACAGGGGAGTTTTGTAACAAAAACAGTCCAGAAGCCAAGGACCCTAGGATCATCAAGGGAGAAGAGTACAAGCAGAATGCAGGACTTTATCCAGAGAAGCAAGGACTCCAGAAACAGAGGCAGAGAGGGGGAGTAGCTGAGGACTCTAGATTCATGGGAAGAGAGGGACTAAGAGCTGGTGGCCAGGAGGCAGACTTGCAGAATGTGCCCTTTAGAGGTGTAAATTATTATATATGCCTGAGTAAAGGTTTTTTTTTTTTTTTTTTAAAGCTAAAGTGAATAGAGAGAAATACTGTTAAATGATGGTGCATGGAGGGGATTATAATCATTGTATGATTTGTTGATTGTAAAATTTATGATCTGCCCTGTAAACTTTCACTCAATCTACAATAAAAACCTTTTAAAAAAAGATCAATCCATGATTATTCTGCTTGTCTTCTTGTTCAAAATGATTGAAGATCACTGGGGTAAGGCCAACCTTGATAAAAGAGGTTGGAAATCAAAGATCAGACATAAAATGGTACCAAGGCACTTGCAACTCTGATAAAATACCAGCCTCCTCTCATGGAGGAACAACCTGCTAGGGTACAGAAGAACTTGAGCAGAGAAGGTTTTGACTGACGCAAGAGTTGAAGAAGTCCCCAAAAGCTGGTGGTCCCTATTGCATCCTGACGTTGCCAGCTCCCCACTTCTGCTTGTTCCACTTCCTGGGGTCTGCATCACCATCTCCTTCATCATTATTCATCTACCGGCTCTATTTTTATAGTGAGATCTTTTTCCACTTGCTGGATATCGGAAGGAAGTTCTGTTGGCTGAGCAATCTCCATGGGAAGAAAGGGTTTGATACATACATTGTGCAACCTGCCTGTTTGACACATTGGTTTCACTTCCTGAAATGGATCGGGAGGGTGGCCAGGTTTTGCATTGGACTACAGGGCCAGGATGAAACGTTGTAGAACAGTAGAGACTGTTACATCAAGGGGCATTTCCTCACAGCTCCAAAATTTCCCTTAAGCAGAAAGCAGGGTCTCATATAATCTGCATACTACTAGCATCACCTCAACCACACTGTAACAATGTACCAGTCACTTCAGCTCTCCTGAACTTGATTTTGTCATCTTCTATTCAACTTGAATAGTAAGTTATGTCTTCCTATATATGATCCTGGAGTCCTGGTTTGGTACTGTAGGATAATGCCCTGGACAGCAAGGTTGCTTTGAACCATAAAGTGGGCTCCTCAGAAACCCTATGCAGGATCGCTATGAGTAGGCACTGACTCAACACTACTTAAGGACAACAGATATGATCCTACTAGATCCCCCAATGGCATTAGGGCTTTTTTTAGCTAGAAAGATTCTGAGGCTCTGAAATGTTACAATTAGAAGATGGGGACATAGAGGTAGTTCAAGGTTCCTGACCTATCCCAAAACCCAGAATCAAAAGGGATTAACTCATTGCTGATGTTTGAATTCCTTGGATACCTCCCTTCCTTTAACTGTCCTTAATCCTCCTTCCTTGAATCATATCAATAAACCGAGAGTATCTCTGTGTCCCCTGTCAGGAGGAACCATAGAGCCACTAGATCACCAGGTCTGAAGACTCTGAGGAAGATGGCAGTTCTCTAATGAGACTTGGGATCCAGTGGCTTATTTGTAGAGTAGATTCTGTGAAGGAAAAACAAAGACTTCCACCAGAAACCTGCTTCCCTGCAGAACTGTATATTCTCCTCCCATCCTAAAGAGGTCAAGCAGCTCCCCAGAGGCTCTGGTCGGTCACTGATCAAGAACTGCAGAGGTAGAAACCAGTTCTTACTGAGAAGGTCCCTGTCACTTCATTAACTCTTTTTATTCCTCTACAAAGGGGAAGGTTCCTTTACTTAGGTTTACGAATCTTTCCACTTGGAAGATGTAGGTGATAAAGGGATTGTGCTCCTGTGAATGTATCTTTCATTTATTCCAGGAATCCCAAATTAAAACAGTCATCCAAGCTAGGAAAATCCAGTATTTTATTATTGACATCATTGTCATAATATGCTTCAGAAACACAACATATATTCATACGATGACATATTATTTGCAAACTGTCATAATTTACTAGCACTTGCCCTCCTATGTATTAGAGAATGATTTCAGCTTAACAGCCCCCTCTTCTAGAAGTTTCCACCCATTCTGTATTTTAACTTGGTTGTGTAATCCGTTGACCAAAAGGGAAATGTCTCACCTCTCCACTTCTGCTTTTAGAGACAATAAAATAGACAGCAAATCTCTTAGAGGGACAAAAGGCCACTCTGGTATTTTCTCCAGCCAATCTTTATTGCTCTGGTATGATGATTTTAATTCTTAATTAGTTACACCAATAACTAAGTCCTAAATGGGTTACTCAGGCTCTCCCTCTCCCTCACTCTCCTTCTCTCTCCCTTTGTGTTTGTGTGTGTCTAAGGACTGGGTTGTTTGTTTGTGGCCAGGTGTGCTGTAATGCTAGAACTTGTCCAATATTCTAGGAGTGAATACTGCTTATCCAGAGATATAAAAGTCAATGTCTCTTCACCAAGTCTCAGGTGGCTTCTAACAACTACACTCCTGGTTTGGGTTTGGGCTAACAAATGCTTTCCTCTAGACCCAAAGGATGACTTTTCCATGTATTTACTCATTCATTTAAAAATTGTTTATTTGCATGTCTGTCACATACTAGGTGCTAACAGGAACTCACATATGAAGACAAGCCTCATTAGAACTGGCAACCACAAGTGGTCATCTTTCTCTTCTCTTTACACAGGTTTTGGAAGCAGCCATGGCAACAGTCCCTAAAATCGGTGATGAGATGAATTCCTACAGGTCAGTGGGAAGATCAGGACCAGTACCAAAAGGAGGGCTCTCCCCTTTTAAGAGTGTAGTGTTAGCTGTGCTTACAGACCAGATATGTCTCCCAAACTGCCTCTTTCCATGTCAATCTAGGTTCCAAGTTAACCTGTATTAAGGATTGATTTCCTACCAAAGTCCAGCTTTGGATCCTATAGCTCTCTCAGGTGTGTTACAGGTGCTTCCTGTAGAGAGCAAGCAGGAAGAAAAGATAACCTCTTTGTAAAACTTGGCTCAGGTGACAGGGTAAACTCAGATTGATTTTAACACACTCCACAGGGCTGAAGGTTATGTCTCAGGATACTTGCCTTGTCCCATGGTGATATGTTATACATAAAAGAGTAGATTGTTCCATGCATATCACCATGGAACTCACCAGAAGTCTTCAGATATCTTTGAGTTTCATGCTGTCTGTAGTTTCCTATCAACAGCAAAGATTTTTTACAGGGAAGGAAAAATAAATCTATTTGGGAGACATAATTAAGAAATATCTGTTTTTCTTGCAGTAACAATGAAAATGACGTATTACTTGAGGTTAATGGCCCCAAACACATGAAGGTAAGACTGTGGACTTAGCTCCCAACCCATGGAGGGGCTCTGACACAAGCAAAGGCTCAAAGAAAAGGGTCTGAGCTACTTTGCACCTATGGTATCTTATGATGGAATGATTCTCGCCTCTGCCAAAGGGACAGATGCAGGCTGCAATACGGGTCGACGTGGTCAGACCCAGCTCCCCACAATGTCATAGTCAGTCACCAACAGTAGTCATCACTGGGGATGGAGGAGGGGACAGTGATAGTGGTGACAATATTAGTTGCCACATGTTAGGAAGACAGCCAGAGCCACAAGGCTTCTAAGCAAATTTGATTCTTCTTTGAGGAAATGAGTTCCAGCTACATTAAACAAACTCTATAACTCAGAGAAAAATGACCTTAAATATTACCAGGTAAAATAGTTTTTTGTTGCCAGGAGAGGAACTTCTGACAACAAGATGTGGTGGCTGTGTGCCGTGGAGTCAGTTCTGACTCATAGCGACCCTGTACAGGGTTTCTGAGGCTGTAAATGTTTACGGGAGCAGAACGTCTCACCTTTCTCCCGCAGAATAGCTGGTAGTTTCCAACTGCTGACCTTGCGGTTTACAGCCCAATTTGTAACCACTACACTACGGTGACATTAAAAATTTGTTGTTGTTGTTGTTAAGTGCCATCGAGTCGGTTCCGACCCATAGCGACCCTGTACAGGGTTTCCGAGGGTGTAAATCTTTATGGGAGTAGAAAGCCTCATCTTTCTCCCGCGGAGCGGCTGGTAGTTTCGAACAGCTGAACTTAAGGTTTGCAGCCCGATTCGTAACCACTACGCTACCAGAGCTCCTTTAAAAATAAAATAAAATAATGAGTTGAGATGAATTAAGAGTTGAAAGAAACAAAAACAAGAATGCTAACTTGCTGTTTGACCTTGGGTCACATGTAAAAAATAAGGAGCATGAATTAGACTATCTCTGAGAGTCTGGCTTTCTGATATAAAGTATAAGAAAGTATAAAACCGTTTATGTTGTAGGTGGGGAATGTATGAAAAAGGTTAATAAATACATGGGAGTTATTCTTAAATAATTATCATATACGACATAAGAAAGCCCACATAATGAGTTTGAGTTTGCCATGCCCATCTCTCTTGGGGCTTCAGAGAGAGATGGCAGAGTCTCTAGTGTTAACCCATTGCCATTGAATTGATTTCATCTCATTGTGACCCTAAAGGACAGAATAGAACTGCTCCTTGGGGTTTTCAAGACTGTAGATCTGTATAGGAACAGGCAGTCTCATCTCACCCACAGAGTGACTGGTGGGTTTTTACCTACTGACTTTGTAGCTAGCAGCCCAATGCTTAATACATCCTGCCACCAGGGCTCTTTTATCTCTCATTGTTGTTATTGTTGTTGTTAAGTGCCATGGAGTTGTTTCCGACTCATAGGGACCCCATATAGGGTTTCTGAGGAGCAGCTGGTGAATTTGAACCACCGACCTTAGGGCTCAACCCAACCTTGCAGTCCAGCGCATTATCCCACAGTGCCACACCAAGTTGATTCTCTCTATCAATTCTCTGATGGCAAAACAGGACTTCCCTGGCCTGACCACATTGCCATGCTCACCCCCTTGGTTTCTCCACAGTGCTACTTCCAAGAATTGGACCTCTGCTCTCCAGGAGATAGGATCATCCAACTTAAGATCTCCCACAAATACTCCAGGAAGGATTTCAAGCAGGTTGTGTCGGTCATCGTGGCAATGGAGAGGCTAAAAACCATCCTGGTTTCCGGGTCACAGCAGCCCTCGGCAACCACCCTCTTATCCATCATCTTTGAAGAAGGTACTTAATGAGAGTTGAAAGGGATGCAGCAGTAGGTTTCATGATTATTATTTTCTTACAGTCGGTAACCTAATAGACAACTAAACTCACTAAAAGATGAAGCCCTTAAAAGATAGAAGGTCCATAAGGGGAAAACAGAGAAGTCTAGAAACCAAAGGAATCATCTCTTTAGTTGAAACTGGAGTCCCTTGGTAGTAAAAGTGGTCAATGCACTTGCTGATGACCAAAAGATTGGTGGTTCGAGTCCAGAGGCTCTTTGAGTCAAAATTGACTCAATAAATGGTTTGTGAGGTGGGGTTTATTGAAATATTTTTGAAATTTTTTCTTAAAGTAAAACCTTGATAATTACTCATATTTGTAAATCACTCCATTCTTTTCAATGCTTTCGTTTGCATTATGTTCTGCAAGTCTCGCAATTGCCAGTGCCGTTATATTACTATCATCATTTTATGTAAGTAGTTCTATTCAACTAGCAATCAAGCTAAAATTGGAGCCCACTTCCTATGGTGCCAGATATAGTGTTCTTAACTCTTTCCTTCCCCCAGGCCCGAGACTCCCTCCCCACTAATACTATAATGGAACTTTGGCCGTACCTGCTCAGATGTCATCCAAGAAGACAAATTCTGTGGCCTAACAGCATCAGACTTGCCTTCTGAATCTCTGCTTACACGACATGTTGCTCTACATTTCAGAATCCATCAACTTGTATGACATTATTGATCAGGATGCAGCAGTACAGTCTAGGAACTGCATACTCCGGGACATAAACCAAAAGTGCCTGGTGCTGTCTGGCCCCTGTGAGCTGAAGGCCCTTCACCTCAATGGAGAGAATATAAAACAACAAGGTAACTTGGGACGTCTTGCTTTTCTTTCTTGGCTTCCTGGCAACTTGCTAACTCTCCACATTGTCAGCAGAGTGGGCCATGAAGACAAACTCTCAGCTTAGGTAAGAATTATTTGACAGAAAAAGAACATAAAAACTTTTTGTTGCTGTCCTAGCCATAAAGCTAGATGGATTTCCTCACTACATTTCCTTTTTAGTAAAAGCGATGACTGAGAAATTATACTGCTCAAGCATACCCAGGGTCATTGTCCAGCCAAGTCATTTAGAGAAGATTTAATATGAATGCATCCATTGAATGGTGTCATTTGATTGGCATGTCCTAACTGCCTGTGGGTTCTTTCTTCCTGCTGTTGGGGCTGAAACTAGAATAGTGAAGAGATAGGGTGTCCATCCCTATCCCAACCTGTCTTCTTGCCTCTAACATCCCTCCCACCCAATACCAGATGGTTCCTTGTAAGAAAATTTTACTGACAGGAAGGAACTTGTATCTCTCTAAAGTAACTGGAAAATGTTTTAAGTCTGGTGAGCCACTAGTACGGCTGGCACTGTGCCACATGCCACCTTCCTCCCACCTAACCTCTGAAAAGAGCAGCCTGTTCTCTTCCGAGGCTGCAGACCTTGGTAAGCAGCATCACTGGAGGGCTCATGAACAGAACAAAAACAATTCTGTTTCTTTATAACTAAGTAGTAAGTCTGGACTTCTGGTGTGTGGCACTGTAGGAACAGCACTGCATTGCAAACCACAAGGTCGGCAGTTCAAACCCAACAGCTGCTCCTGGGAAGCCTATACAGGGTCACTATGAATTGGCACTTAACAACAACAACAAAAGCATGACTTGCAGGCTTCCAGTTGAACCAGTTGTGACCAAGGAAAATCAAAATGAATGACTCTCTTTGGCACTATTTGAAGCCTCGCCTCTTTCAAGTGCTTCTAGCTGTTGTTCTATGTTGCAGAAACAAATCTGGTACCTAACTTCTTTCATGAGCCAAACTAAACCTCTTTTCTGACCTTCAATATTGATCAAACTGTTCTGCCAATGCCTATATGCACATCATTGGTCAATAACAAGATGGCTTCTCCAGCTTCCTTTAGCATTTAATAATTATTGTTGTTAAGTGCTGCCAAGTCAGTTCCAACTTATAGCGACCCTGTATAGGGTTTCCTAGGAAAAGCTGGTGAGTTTGAATTGAGGACCTTGAGGATCAAACTGACCTGATGGTCAAGTGCTTATCCTACAGCACCACATCAGGACTCCATTTAATAATTCTTGTTGTTGTTAAGTGCCATCGAGTCAATTCTGACCCATAGCGACCCTATATAGGGTTTCCAAGGAGCAGCTGGTGGGTTTGAACTGCCGACCTTGTGGTTCAAATTGACCTTGAAGTCTAACACATAATCCTGCATCATCGCACCAGGACTCTAATAATTAGCCTTAATAATTGTTGCTGTTGTTATGTGCCGTGGAGTCGGTTCTGACTCATAGCAACCCTATACAGGGTTTCCAAAACTGTAAATCTTTACAGGAATAGAAAGCCTCATCTTTCTCCCACAAAACAGCTGGTAGTTTCGAACTGCTGACCTTAAGGTTCACAGTCCGATTTGTAACCACTACGCTACCAGAGCTGACCTTAGCCTTAATAATTAGCCCTCCCTTAATTCTTCATTATCATTATTGTGAGGCTCTGAAAAACTTTCAGATCTCTGAGAAAAACTTGGACCAAGCAGCTAACCCTGAGAAGCCAAGTGATCTTGCCTATTAGGTTAGAGAAATCTCTGTATGGGTTCCCACAGAGGATGCTAACTTGTACTGGTCCTGAAGAGGGATTTGGTGATTGGGTCCAGCTTGTACTGCTATGTATATCTGACCTCAAGGCCTCTCTTCTTTCTTCAGTTGTGTTCTCCATGATCTTTGTGCAAGGAGAAATAAGTCAAGAGAAAATACCTGTGGCCTTGGCCCTCAGGAGAAATAATTTGTACCTGTCCTGTGTGATGATTGATGGGAAACCCACCCTGCAGCTGGAGGTGAGTGAGTACCAGAGGCTGAGGGCCCTTCTTAGGCCTCCTCCAATGCCTCCCCAGCCATGACTTACTTTCAAGACAAACTCCTTCTCCTTCCCCAAATCTGGGAGCTGGTCTACTTGATTGTTTATATAAATGTACATAAATTTTACATGATTGTTAAGTACATGCAACCTTCACTCCCACTTGTGATAATTACATCATTTTCTGATGTTATTTTATCCTACCACTGTATGACCGAAGACATTATACAGCATTAGGGTTGGGAGGATTACACATTAATACATTATTACTCTCATCTAATAGACGATACTTGGGGAAAATAATCAATTAAAGGGAGAAAAGACAGCTGTCATCTCCTCCACTCCACATTCTCCCTACACAACTTTCCCAATAGTTTTATTTCCATGTTAGTATCATTCTCTCCAGGGTATAAAGAAACAGAAGCAAAAGTCATTGGAAATCAGGTAGTCCTTAAAATAAAATTTTAACCTACTTTTTACCTTTTTTTTTTTTAATTCCCACCCACAGTATGCTCCCCAGAATTTGGGAGTAAGATTAAAAAAAAGAATAAGGTTCCCACAAATTTGTCATTAACTGCCATGAAGTCAGTGTTGATGCATGGTGACCACATGCGTGCAGAGTAAAATTGCTCCATAGGGTTTTTAAGGCTGTGACTTTTCAGATGCAAACCACCAGGCTTGACTTCTGAGGAGCCTCTTGGTAGGTTTGAACCTCCATCCTTTCAGCTAGTGGTTGAGCACTTAACCCAGGAATTCTACTCCCTCAATAACCACATAGAAAACCAAGAGTCACAAAGAGAACTCAGGTGTCTGATCTACTCCTGAAGTCTGCTAATCAGTTCCTCTTTAGCCACATGTCTTTGTCAGAGTGTCTCTGTCCCCTCACAAAAGTTCTTATTTCTATTTTTCTGCAGACACTAGACCCTAAAGTTTACCCAAAAAAGAAGATGGAATCCCGATTTGTCTTCAACAAGCTACAAGTCAAGGACAAGATGGAATTTGAATCATCTGCATTCCCCAACTGGTTTATCAGCACTTCTCAAATGGAAGAACAGCCTGTCTTCCTGGGAAATACCAGAGGTGGTCAGGATATAACTGACTTCACTGTGGAAGAAACCTCTTCCTAAAGAGAGTTCTATCAGAAAGTTCACATGTGCTGAATAACCCCTAACGCTGGCAGAAAGAGACTAGAATGGATTTGGAACATGGCTGCAGCCTGGACTTTACTGTTGTCTAGACTGACACAGTTGCTTTCTGTATATGGTGCTAAGGGGTGTCTCCTGCCCACCAGCCAGGAGCTGTCTGAGGAAGACCCACTGTGCCCAGGCCAGGTCTATGATAAGGAGCAGCTCTTTCCTCCCAGGGCCAATCCCATGGTCCCCTTTGCTAAGCAAGCCTCCCCTACCCCTCCTATCGCTCAAAGCCAACCTGACAGAAACTGTTGCACATTTGATTGCAAGAAATCCTCTGTCCTTTACTGCTAGCTTCTGGTCAGCAGCCATTTGGCTACTTATTTATTTATTTACCGCGCAGTTGATCTACTTAATTTAAGGAGGGGCAAGAAGCAGTGTCTTTGAACAACTCCAGTCTTCAACATCTATAGAACCAATTTCATTTGAACTAGTGTGCTGTCTTTATATTAAGTCCTTCCACTAAGGCTGAGATGATAGACTCAGGTTATTTAAATGGAAATATTTATGAATGAAGAGGTATGACAGTACTTCAATGGTTCTGAAATAAATTTCACTAAAACATTTGTGTGTGTGTGCTGATAATTGACATGGAAGGAAGAACAAAATGAGGCTCTGAGAGTTCTGCTTGGGCCTCAAAAGTCTACTCCTCATTGCTGGGTGCTGCCAAGTATCTAAAAACATCCTTGGCCACTCCTCCCCACTCCTCTCTTTTATTTCTGGTTTTCAACAAAAGAATATTCAGTGCCTATGCTTTATCTGAGGAGTCCTGGTGTGGCGCTGTGGGTTAAAGCACCAGACTGCAAAGCCATTTGAACCACTGTCTGTGGTTCAAGCTCACCAGTGACTCCTCGGAAACCCTATACAGGGTCACTATGGGTCAAAACCGATTCAATGGCACTTAACAACAACAACATGCTTTATCTAAAGCTCATGCTTAGGTAGAACACTTCAGGGAGTAAGGGCTGGTGGTAACGCTGCTAATGAATTCTCCATCCATTTATCCAGCAAATATTTATTAAACAAATGCTATATGCTAGGAGCCTGGTGGTATTGTAGGGTAACAACTGGACTCAAACTCCCAGTTGCTCTATAAGACAAAAATAAGGCTGTCTTGAGGCCTGGTGTGGCACTTGGGATAAGCACTAGACCGGTAAGCGAAAATGTGGCAGTTCAAACCCACCACCAACCCCTCTCAGAAGCCTATGACTACCGGTGGCTGTGTGAAGCCTAATTGGTCCTATCTCATACATCTCAAGTATAGGGTTTCTGAGGGTGTAAATATGTAAGGGAACAGAAAGCCTTATCTTTCTCCCACAGATCAGCTGGTAGATTCAAACTGCTGACCTTGCAGCTAGGCAGCCCAGGTGCAATCCAGTACACTACCAGAGCTCTGTCAGAATTCCTATACAGCATTGCTGTGAGTCAGAACTGACTCTATGACACACAGCAACAGGAGCTGGGAATGCAGAAACAAGAAAGGTAAGGGTTTCTCTCATTTGGTAGATGGAGTCCTGGTGTGGCACTGCAGGCTAATGCACTGGACTGCAAAGTCAGTTTGAGCCACAAGGTCAGTGGTTCAGATTCACCAGCCGCTCCTCGGAAATCCTATCCAGGGTTGCTATGGGTCAGAACCAACTCGATGGCACTTAACAACAACAACAGCTTTGAGAAATTAAGGGAGAAAGGATACCTGTCATCTTCTCCACTCTACCTCTCCCCTGCTTCTCCCAAAAAAGTCACTCTCCTCACACAACTTTCCCAGCAAAAGCTTTGTTTTCAAGTTGATGCCATTCTAGCCAGGGATAGGAAGAAATATATGGCAAAAGTCCTTGGACTCCAGGTAGTACTGGAAGTTTGAACCTACTTTTTTGTTTTTAATTCCCACCCACATTAAGAGTTAGGTAGAAGAGACAAATATGTACAAGCAAAACTAAGGCAACATGATAAGTAGAAGTCAAGATCTGAGAGCACGAAAGAGGACAGTTGAGCTCTGCTGTAAGACAGAAGGTCAAGAAGGTGACATATATGCCAGTCAGAAAAGGCTGGAAGGAGGTCCCCAGATAGAAAAGGAAGGGAGAAGACTGAACATGCTGTGGGAAGTGTAGGGATACAAGCTGAACATTCCAAAATGTCCACACTAATGTCAACCCAGGAGAAGTGAGTTTGCCACTTTTCCTTCCTTTCCCCCTCCCTCTAGCATATATTCCTACATTCCCACACACCAGTCACCTGTCCATTAAGGAGTAACAACTCGCTGGAGCTGGGTTCTTTTTCTGTTTTTCCCCAAATCTCAGCTAGGGATAGGACTCTTCTCAGACAGCCCCCTTGCTCTCTGACTGGAATATGAGGCTGTTTACCTTGCCCTCAAAGGGATCTAGGTATAGCTTGAAGAGGGTAAATAATACTAAAATCCTTGACTGCCTTATGAATATTAGTTTCTCCTGCCTACTATTGTAAAATAGACACTTGAGTGGTATAGAAAGGAATGTTGGGAAGCATGATTAGAGAAAACTTGTAAGCCCGCCTTCAGCCTATAACTGATTGGAA